GACGTTGTTCCGAGTGAGGCCCCGGAAGCAGCTTTCAGACTTTGCAGTGACGCGCAACGACGCGCTTTAATGCGCTGTAACGAGCGTCGACTCGCTGCAGTTGCAGCGGCGCTCCAATCCTGTAAACATGAATGCAGGTGCAGACGGGAATCGATCCTCGCTGGCCACTTGTGTTTTGAGAGAGCAGTAGTTTGAGAGGAGGGCAGGCGCTGCCTTCCGCACAATATGGTACTTTCTCATTCTTCTGGTCCCTCCCAAAGACTTAGCGGCGAGTGCCAATTAATATGAGACTGCGTGTTCTCCCATGCTCCCTTAATGCACAAGCAGTCGACGTCGATCAATTCCCGTCTGCGGCTGTTTCGCGTCTATAGCATTGGAACGCTGTTGCAATTGCAGCGCGTCGATGCAGGTTACAGCGCTGCCTCCAGCGCAATACAGCTCGTCATAGCGAAGACTCTCCCTAACCTGCCAGTCGAGACTCCAACCTGCCGATTCGGATCATTATTCAAAAGCGAGCGGATCTACGTGTTGCTGCCTGAAAACAAGTTCGAAACATTGATCGAAATTTCGCAAAACGACACTAGTGGGCATGGCTGAAAGGTGGAGCTCGGAATGTCAGTTATAAATGTCTGTGTATAAGTAAGTGCTGCGAAGAGTGGGTGCGTACAGAACGACGTTGAAAAAATTGATAAAACAGGATTTTAAGATAGATTTCCGAAAAACCATGACCAGGGGGTGGACGGGGGTGTTGGGACGATGCTTGCAGCTGTACCTATGTAGCGTGATCTGATTGAAGTACTGTCCGATGTGAGACGTGTGTCTGATTCAGGGGCACATCCTCCTTTGATACGGTTCCCCCTCCCCTTCCCCATCTTGGCCACCACTTTCTCGGATTTTCCCAACTTCCTATCACTCTTCCAGTTTTTTTTCCGAATTTCCCGAAAATTTTCTACTTTTCCCCCAAAAGTTTGCTGAAGAGCGGATGGCCGACTAAATACGATTCCCTTCTCTTGGGACTCCCCGAACGTACGACGTGGTCTGATCCGATTTGCTTTGGAAAGTGTCCGTTTTAGTTTGGAAAGTGTTTGTCTTGTTTTAAAAAGTGTCGTTTCGCTTCAAAAAGCGTTCTTCAGTATTGAAAGGAGTCCGAATTGAAATGAAAGTGGTATATGATACATAGGCCGCTGCTGCGATGTAAGATTTCTAGCAGTTATGAGATTCATTCTTGAAAAGTCGAGTATACCAGAGGATCGTGAAGTAATCGGAGACCTCTTTAACCAAATTGGACACCTTTGCCCGCCCCTTTTGCGTCTTTTGTGGAATTTTGATTTTTCTTCGGAATTTTCGCCTTCCAGACTATCGACTGGATCATTTTTCAAAAGTGGGCGTAGCTTATGTGAAGGGGCGGGGCTTCGTATAGGAGCGGAGCGGCCTGCCGTAGCACGAAAACGCGAAAAGCTTGAAAAAGATTGAACTTTCTCGAAAAAAAGGCAAAAGTGGGCGCGGTCATAGGGGCAGGTCTTAGCGTACCAGTGAACCGATGCATATGTATGAGTGCATTCGTTTTGTAAAGAGTGAATGTGAAAAGAATCAGTCAGGTAAGGTTATAAAAATTTATAACTTGCGATGACTCCATTGAAAAGTGGGCGGGTCGTATACAGTCCTCATCATTGCGGACCGGTGGGGCGTGTCAGCCAGAAGGAGTGCGCACACTGTTGAAGCCGTTCTCAGCCTTTTTTGTTGCAACGCGTATGCGACAAAAAGTGGAAACGAGTAATACGAAGGATATAATACAGTAATGCACTTGCCCGCTTCAAAAACTGGTGCAGAACGATTTTGCCAAACCGCACCAAACGCAGCCGCACTGCCACGCCCCACCGGTCCGCAATGATGAGGACTGTATGTATCGGTCCACTCCTTTTCAGCGCGATTGGGTGCGCGTAGAGTAAAAGAGAGAAATGTCAAAGGAGAAGATTTCATGAAACGTTTTTGAAACCATAATCGTGCTGAGAACTGGACGGAGGGCGCCTGGGCGGGGGTTGCAGCAGTACTTGGGTGATCTAGTTACCAAACTGCCTAGTGCAGCGGGTGTTTTCGATTTAGTTTGAGAACTGCCCGATTGGTTCGAAAAGTGTCCGATTTGGACTGAAGACTGGCTGATTTTCAGTGAAAAAAGTAAATCACGTTTGTCTGATAATGCGATTGATAATTCGATAACTGTCTATGTTGCTTTGATAACGGTTTCGCAATATTACATTATATTCCTAGATGTCACCCGAGAAGCATTCCTTTACAACAACTTGTTGCTTTAGGCAAATTTCTCCAACCAATTAGCTATGATGGGAATGAATAATGGAATGATGCCAGGTGGTATGCTAGTGAGTTCTTGCTTGATTTTCCCCATGCTTTCTCTGAAGCGAATAGCTCAAACGAAGATATCTAAGTGATCCTCACGCTGAAGTTTTTCTGAGGTGACAGCAACCCGATGATGGCGTGAAATTTCAGGGCGAAGTACATCACTTTGGACCTGGTGGTCTTCAGTTAACCAACGAACAGAAACGTATTCTGTTCCTTTTCGAGTACAAGCTGGGAACGGCGGCTGAGGTCGCCACCCAGAACATCAATCAAGCATTTGGTGCGGGTGTCGTCCCACTATCACAAGTCCAAGCGGCTTACCGCCAATTCAGCAACTGGAATGGAGTCTTGGGTTAATCGAAAAGGAAAATAACCATGAGAAGTCGATCGCGAAGCAATCATGAACAAAATCGAGCTTGACTTCAACGGACCGTGAAATCTTCTGATGCTTTATTGCTAGTCCTGTTATATAGATGCGAAAGGAAAACCTTTCAATTGTTTTTCTGCCTGTTGTTAAATTTGCCTTTCAATGTAGATGAATTTATGAAAATTATTGTTTTTTTTCATTAAGGCGGAGGGGATGTAGTATACTCCTTATCCCTGAGCCAGAGTAGGCGTGGCATTTGAACATGGCACGGAATTGGTTACTCGTGGAATATTCCAGTCTGGGACAACTGTCATCTTGTTCTGTGTTGACAGAGACACGACAACAGTTGTGTCAAGATGGAAATTCCACCAGAAGCATAGACACCTTCAGGTTAAGTTGAAGAATGCAGCCCCGCCTACCCGATCTCAGGGATCTCGAATATAGTAAGTATCGCGCTTACCACGCGCACTGTCCGGAGGTCAAATCCCGGATCGGCTCCAGCCCAGGCCAACCAAGCCTACAATCAGGGAACAGCCAAAATACATTGCTCCGGAGACCTTAATTTGTACATTGACATTTGAAGCGTTGGGTGTAATATAGCTGAATAAATAAACAAATAAGTTAATGGTCTCAAAGCGAGTCCTAAGAGCCCCTCATCAGCCGAAAAAAAACACGGAAAGTCAACAGCCGAGACCTGCTCTTCA